CCGCTATTAATTGTACCTGATCGGTTGTTAATCTTCTATAATCCGCTATTAATTGTACCTGATCGGTTGTTAATCTTCTATATTCCGCTATTAATTGTACTCGATCGGTTGTTAATCTTCTATAATCCGCTATTAATTGTACCTGATCGGTTGTTAGTCTTCTATAATCCGCTATTAATTGTACCTGATCGATTGTTAATCTTCTATGATCCGCTATTAATTGTACTTGATCGGTTGTTAATATTCTATAATCTGCTATTATTTATTTTGGAACAGTTGTTAATCTTCTTTATCCTGTTATTAATTATTCTTGGTGTATCATTAATCAATCTTCTAGACCTTGTGTTCAGATCTAAACCAAAATACAATTTGATTCTTCTTATTCCAATGATAAACTAATAGAAAAATAAAATTAGTAATTTGAGTTGTTAAAAAGTGCCTTACTGGCAACCGCTAGGGGTCTACACTCTCTAACTCAGTTTAGCATGGGCAGTCATCGGGTTCGAATCCGAGGATAAAAAATGTACATCAAGGATAAACAACGACATAAGTAACCATGTTCTTCAAATAGCCTTGTTTTCAATAACCAATTCAAATCAGAGGTTCCAGTATAGTTGGTATTTTTAACAGCAGATGACATCACCGTACAGTCGCTATAGTTGCTTATTATGAATGACAATGTTTACTTTTTTTAGTTTCTTTTTCGGTTGTAGTCTTCTATCTTCGTTCATACTTAAAGTATAACTTTTTTCAACTGATCTGAAGAGAAGACAAAACTTGAAACTGTGTATTAAACAAACTGGTATACAGAACATCTCACCGTCTTTTATTCTTCTTTATACCTGAAGAGGGCGCTCCAACATAAATAAAATAATAATTATTAGCGATATTAATTAAGGCCTGTGTTGTTGTTTACCGCATTTTGTCGAATTTTCTATAGTGTAGGAAAGAATTAAAAAAGAAAAAGATGGTAAAATAAACTAAATTTATTAAAACTTTTCAAATTTAAAAGAAACTAAATTTTTTAAAACTTTTCAAATTTAAAAGAAACTAAATTTTTTAAAACTTTTCAAATTTAAATGAAACTAAATTTGTTGAAACTTTTCAAATTTAAATGAAACTAAATTTGTTCAAAACTTTTCAAATTTAAAATAAACTAAATTTGTTGAAACTTTTCAAATTTAAATGAAACTAAATTTGTTGAAACTTTTCAAATTTAAATGAAACTAAATTTGTTGAAACTTTTCAAATTTAAATGAAACTAAATTTGTTAAAACTTTTCAAATTTAAAATAAACTAAATTTGTTGAAACTTTTCAAATTTAAAATAAACTAAATTTGTTAAAACTTTTCAAATTTAAAACAAATTAAATTTGTTAAAACTTTTCAAATTTAAATGAAACTAAATTTGTTAAAACTTTTCAAATTTAAATGAAACTAAATTTGTTAAAACTTTTCAAATTTAAAATAAATTAAATTTGTTAAAACTTTTCAAATTTAAATGAAACTAAATTTGTTAAAACTTTTTCAATAAATCATTATCGAACTGAATGACTGGCAACTTAGTGAATTACCAGTTAAACTAAAAGATCTTGAGAAATGTGTATCACAATATTCAACTTGTTTGTTTTAACTTGTTCTTACAATATCTAATGTTGTTCCCAGCCCACTTCCTTACCATATACACTCTCGATCCCAGCTCACTTCCTTACCATATACACTCTAGATCCCAGCTCACTTCCTTACCATCTACACCCTAGATACCAGCTCACTTCCTTACCACATACACTCTAGATCACAGCTCACTTCCTTACCATATATTCTCTCGATCCCAGCTCACTTCCTTACCATATACACTCTAGATCCCAGCTCACTTCCTTACCATATACGCTCTAGATCCCAACTCACTTCCTTACCATATACACTCTAGATCCCAGCTCACTTCCTTACCACATACACTCTAGATCCCAGCTCACTTCCTTACCATATATTTTCTCGATCCCAGTTCACTTCCTTACCACATACGCTCTAGATCCCAGCTCACTTCCTTACCATGTACACTCTCGATCCCAGTTCACTTCCTTACCACATACGCTCTAGATCCCAGCTCACTTCCTTACCATGTACACTCTC